GAAGTGTGAAATTTTGCCCGTAAGTCTTCATCCTTGACTAGTGGAGTGCCCACTTTGGCCTCGCTTTCTTCATATCTCATGTTGTAAATATTGATCTATTTCGATGCTTTGCAGTCGAGAAGTTACCCCCGCCTCCTCTAGAGGGGATCCGAGAATGGGTCGAGGCCATTCTTCCCCATTCAGCGGGAGTTCGCACATGGTCGACGTTTCATATGAGATTCGGACGTAGGCCCCTTACAGGTGAGATAGCGCCCTTATTTTTTACTCGTTCTCTTTCGTTTCGATCTTACCTTTCGAGTATTATTTGCCGTGGCCAGGGAGGGTTCGCAGAGTCAGGGCTCCTCAGTTAGCTTTCCGTCGGCCGGCCGCGTCCGCTCGTATCAGAGTAGTACCTGCAGCCCGTCCTTCGTCGAGAGAGGCATCGGTAGAATCTGTGGCTTTGGCCGCTTCGATCCGAACTATATCTCCGGAGGAAGGTCGGTCTGGTACCATTCGTCCTCAGAACGACTCGCCATCAACCGGGGAGGAAGAAGGGCCATCGAAGAGGCGGAGGGTAGTGTTTGAGATGGTTCCTCCGGCAGTGATCAACTTGGATTCACCCCCAACAAACCCAGAGGAAGGTGTTGTTGCGACGTCTACCGCTGAGGGGGAGCGGATGGTCGGGGCTGTTCCCACCAGTCAGAGCCAGGAAAAGTCTGTTGGTGTAGCGACCCAATCAGGAGTTCCCGCTGCTGATGACGCAGGACATCTCGCTGTAGCGGAGAATTGGACCCCTGATGTTGCCGTCGTGACCTTGAGTGTGCCGTTACCGTCCTCGGCAGGTCGCGCCACATCATCGGCAGCGGAGAGGGGAAAGAGTGTAGTGATCGATGAATACGAGTCCAAGTCTGACTTGGACCCTGATGATGTTCGGATGTTCGAGGAGGGCATTACTCGCTCGGTGGTTAATGCGGAGGGGTCGGCTCGTCTCGTTGAGATCCCCTCCGATGTGAATCTGTTGACACAAGGAGGCAACTTGGTACCGCAATTCAGCTTGTTGTGTTCGGAGGCCGAGAACGAGTCCCTGAGGAATGTTTCGGATGTCAAAGTGATGGACGAAGTAGCTGTAATGGGCTTACGGGTATGTTATATCTGACTTCGATTTGTTTCTCCTTTGTTGCGAAACGAGCATCAGTTTAACTGCTTTCTTGTTTTGCAGACGTACATGTTGAAGGTAGAGAACATTCGCAGGGCCAATGTACGGTCGAGGATCTTCTTGCAGATGCTCGTCGCTATCGCAATAGGTGCCGTGAGTTTCACGAACGATTAAAGACTGATCCCCGCAATCGGGATTTGGGCAAAGAGTTGGAGAAGAAGGACCAGGAGCTAATGCAGGTGCTCCGCAGCAAGAGCGAGCTCGAAGAGCAAATTCGCCTCAAAGACGAGGAGCTCGAGGTGGGCAAAGGGGTCGCTGCGGAATGCGAGCACCTGCAAGGCAAGTTACGAGCAATGCAGTTGGAAATGGAACAGAGCCAGGCCAGAGCAGCGGAGATGAGCGCCGAATGGAGCGGGAAGTTGACTGCACTGGAAGGCAAGGTTGCCGATTTGAAGCGCATGGAGAGGGCAGCGTTAGATGCTTTGACGAGGGCAGCGGCCTTAGAGGCGGCAGTTCGTGTACATGAGTCCGAGCGAGAGTCGGAGAGAGCTACTGCAGCCCTTAGGGAGGCGAGGCTCGAGGAGCGGATTGGCGCGGTTGACCAGGAAGCCTTGGCCTTGTCGGATCGAGTTGCGGCCCTGGAGGAGGAGAATCAACGGTTGAGAGCCCAGGCTGGATCATCCCGTGCCGCTGTTCCCCGCCAGGCTCATGAGCTCTGGGTCTACGCTGAGGCTCAACGTGATATTTTCAAGAGCTTGTGGGAGGCGGGCACCGTGGCTGAGGCAACTTTCGAGGAGGCGCGTCAGAAGGCTCGTGAGGCTCGAGCGAATTGTGGATATAATGTGGCGATACCCAAAGCTGATGGGGACGCCAGTGGTGATGATGATAACGGCGGTGTTGGCGCCGAGTGATAGAAAGTTGTGTTTCGTTATTTGTCGTTTTTTTTTGTTTCGTATGTCGATGGGCGTTTGTTTGTTTGTTGCTGTCTTCTTCCCCTCTTTCCGCTTTTTTTTAATTGGCTGGCCCGGACCAGATGTAAACGGCAATAGCCCGTATTCCTGACTTCATGAATAAAGAATTTTTCTTCGCTTCTTGCTTTACATTTCAGTCCTCTATTGATTTACGATCTTTTCATGGGGTGGGGGCTCGTCAGACGAGTCCCGGTTCCCCTTATGTGACGAAAGTTTTTGGTCGCGGGATTTGTTATGAACTCTTCGAGAGGATTGCTCGTCTTAGCTTGAGCGAGGTCGAACCTGTCGCTCCTTGATGGTATTCAGGCACAGCTCGAATCCCAGTTCAATCGAGGTCGAACTGTCAAACTTTGATGGCGAAGACATTTAGCCCGAGTCTCAGTTCGATCGAGGTCGAACTGCCAAACTTTGATGACGAAGGCACTTAGCCTGAGTCCCAGTTCGAGCGAGGTCGAACTGTCAAACTTTGATGGCGAAGGCACTTAGCCTGAGTCCCAGTTCGAGCGAGGTCGAACTATCAAACTTTGATGGCGAAGGCACTTAGCCTGAGTCCCAGTTCGAGCGAGGTCGAACTATCAAACTTTGATGGCGAAGGCACTTAGCCTGAGTCCCAGTTCGAGCGAGGTCGAACTATCAAACTTTGATGGCGAAGGCACTTAGCCTGAGTCCCAGTTCGATCGAGGTCGAACTGTCACTCTTTGATGGCGAAGGCGCTTAGCCTGAGTCACAGTTCGAGCGAGGTCGAACTATCAAACTTTGATGGCGAAGGCACAGCCTGAGTCACAGTTCGAGCGAGGTCGAACTATCACACTTTGATGGCGAAGGCACTTAGCCTGAGTCCCAGTTAGATCGGGGTCGAACTATCAAACTTTGATGGCGAAGGCACTAGCCTGTTTACATTGAAGGTTCAACGCCTCGGGCGTTAAGTGTCGGCTTCGTTTTGGCTTGTGGTTGTATGTTGTACCCGTGCTATGATTGTTCGCCTGACCGTGGCATTCAGGTTGCTTCGAGGTGATTTTTGATTCCTCGTTTGAAACACCTCTACGCCGGTTTCCGGCCTGACGCAGTATGGTGGATGAGGGGGGGGGGGATTCTCCATTCTTTTGCTCGGCGATCAGGAGGAGAAGGGGGGACACTTTGCATCACTTCTTTCCTCGCTCGGGCTGTTCGAGGTCAACAGGGCGGAGGATTTCTGGCTCCCGTTGGCACATTCGATTCTTCTTTTTTTTGTTTGATGCGCCTCCATTGACTCTGGTTTGAGTCGAATTTTCTTCTTGGTGTTTCTTTTTCTTCGATCCAGGAAGAACTAAGTATTTTCACTAGGAAATCCCCACAGACGGCGCCAAATTGTTTGACTCAAAAGTTGTTTAACACTTTGTAAGCAAATCAATCAATATAGATGAAGGGGTAAATCATAGTCCACCATAATTAATACCGGATCAAAGAGCAGAATCATAAAGATAAAAGAGACAATTGAAATGACACTTGAAAAGTTTTATTGATTGTAGAAATTCGGCCTGCCTCTCCTTGAAGAGGTTTAGGAGATTACAATCGGATTATTTCTTCCTTCCCTCTTGGAGGTGGAATCTCTTTCTTTGCATAAGCTCAGTCTCTCTTTCATGGAGTTCTCCCACTATCTCCTCTGTTTATGGATCCTCTAGGGCCCCCCCTTAAGGGGTTCTTCTGTCCTCTCTTTATTGCCCAGAACTTCTCGTGCTTATCATATTTCATTCGGGCCGGGTCGGGAAGGTGACCTCCCCTCATGGGGAGGCCTCGACCTCGACGCTCATGTTGTAAATAGCAGCGTTTAGATGAAGTCGAGTTCGTTGATTACTACTGCAGGGTGGTCGGGACGGGATCACTGCTGCTGTGGTCGTGTAGTCAGATTCTGACCAATACAAAACCAAAGTGAAAAAAGAAGAAAAGGAAAAAGGGACAAACCTAGAAAGAAAAGAGCACTTGAACGGAAATTGCTGAAAATTTGAGGTTTCATTTGCTGGGTAATTAGGTTGGAAATTTGAAAGCAAACCAAGATTATTAGTGGAGTACTATGTTTCTAAGTGGTCACGACTCACGATTCATGTCATTAAAATGGTCCCACTAGGATTCTTTCAAAATATTCTACAGCTCAAAGAGTATTTTATACTACTGTTTTTGTACAGTTATGGACGTGTGCGCCATTTCTATAGCAATTTTCCCTAATCGTAACTTTTTTGGTTAAGTTTGATATTATAATTAAACATAACAAGTAATTCACCGAGATAATGGTCTTAATAAGCTCAAAAAGGATTTCTTGGTATGATAATGTTTTCTTCTTTAAGTTTATCACGAAAAAAGTTTGAATGAGAAAGAACTTTACATCTTATGGTCAGTGGCGAAACCATAAATTTATTTAAGGGTGTTCAAAATTGAAAGAAGTGAAAAAAATTCTCCAACAAAGAGTGGTTAATCTATGATATATACCTCTAAAATCTAATATTTTACTTAGTACACAATGTAAATTTTCGACGAAGTGATCACCCTTCAAAACATATAGCTTCGCCCTGTAACATCGGAGCCTACCACTAGATTTCGTTGAATCCACATCACTAAAATTTGTGTGTATAAAGGAAGTCTTAGGATTAGGAACTTATTTTAATTTTGAAATTGTAGGTGCAAATATGGTAACAAAATTTGTTTCACGTGGTATACCATCAACATATTACTGGCTCGTTATATTCTTTCTTTGAAGATTTGAATTTTTTTGTTTATCTTTTAGCCTTGTTTTAGTAAAATTTTTCAAATTTTCAAAAACAAAAAGGGAAAAAGCAAGTATTCGAAATGACGCGTCCTCGAATTCAGGGCCCACTAGTGTGGAATATTTACCGTACGATATTTCCATATTATTTCGAGGTGCCCTGTATTATCGGCGAGTCAAGATATTTCTACTCGTTTTCCATTTCTTTAAAAACGGTCAAAGTGCCAAAAACGAAATCAAAAGGCATAAAACTTGCGCATAGGGTTCTTTGAAATCGTGAAAAGAGAGAGAGAGAGAAATGGCAGAGCAGCTAACGGAGGAGCAGATCGCTGAGTTCAAGGAGGCCTTTAGCCTTTTCGACAAGGACGGCGATGGTAATACTACTCATTTTATTCTAAACATTACGGTAGTCTGATGATGTGATAATTTTTTTATGCATTTTTTTGGGTGGCCGAGGCGTTGTTTATGTTATTGCATCTGATTTGTTGATTTTAGAGTAGATCTAAGCTTTAGCTACACATTTTTTGGTTGACTTTCAATTTTCGCGATTTACTGGTCAAGTGTTACAAATTACTATTGAAAACCTAAATTACGCCGTTTAGTTGGTTTTGTTGTACTGGTATAAGCTGAAGAAAGAAAAATGCTTAGGAACTAAATTTCGTAGGATTGGTGGATCGTTTAATAGTTGAAGACGTTGAAGGACTTGGAGTTTAAGTATATCAGTGATTGTTCAATTTCGCTAATCTGCTCATAGAGAATATCGAAAATATTTAGGGAGGAAGAGCCACTTTTTATTTATTTGTAGAGTTGTTAGTAATGGAACTAGCTTTTACTTTTCCTGAAGGTGTGCCTAATGTGTTGCATATGAAAATTTTGTGTCACATTTGGCAATTTCTAGCACACTTAAACTCTGTTTGAAGTTTTGCATGTATCATTCGATTGATTGGTTGATCGCGTCTTGCAGCATTTATGGAAGTCCTTGTTTACTTGTTCTTGTACCGTTTTTTATTATAATTCGTGAAGTGCCTTTACTAAGCCGGTTTACAGTATAACCCGTGTTTTTTATTGGAGCTGTTTCAAAACCCAGAGAAAGATAAAAGTTTATGTGATCCGTTTTGGCTGGATAAAGTTTTGGGAGGGGGGGGGGGATGCTTTTTCATATGATGCCCTTGCATAGTTTTATCACCTTTTATTTTCTCAATGTAATTGCACCCTCTTTGCTCCTTAAAGTCTCAATGGAGATTCTTCATTTTATTCTCCTAAGGAGTACTCTCTGTGTTAATATTTTGTTAGTTAGTTGTGATTATATCTCAATAAATAACCTATGTGCCGCGAGTGAAATCAAAAGCTCTAGTTGTGATCTGAAATTTGCTTTTATAGGCTGTATTACTACCAAGGAATTGGGAACAGTGATGAGATCACTTGGTCAGAATCCCACTGAAGCTGAACTACAGGATATGATCAGCGAGGTTGATGCTGATCAGAATGGAACCATTGATTTTCCAGAGTTCTTGAATCTGATGGCGCGTAAGATGAAGGTATAGGAGTTCTAGCTTTTTTAATATTATGTTACAATCTTTCTTATTTGGCCCTGTTGAGATATTTGTGATGATGTCAGGTTTTCGCAAGTTCTTTTTTCAGATGCCTCCTTGAAAATTGATCTTATAGACAATTTGGACTTATTTGACTAGTGTGGATGCCAACTTTGCTGTTATTATCCTTTCTGTTTCTTGCAGTTGTAGTTGTTTTATGCATATACCAATTTGTGTTCATATCTTAGTGCTCTGATTTTTTTTGGTAAATTATTTTCTGTGATTAGGGATTGTCATTGTGTATTCCAGCTTCATATATATTCGTACTTGTCAGATATCAGCTTGATAACATGCAGACACTGTTCATTTTAAAATATTTGTCGTATTTCAACGTGACCATTCAAAAGAAACATTGTTGTATGTTCTGCGGGCATCGATGAGACATTTTGACAAGATTTGTTAGTAAGAAGGTTTTACGATTAATCATTCTTTCTTAGGAAAAATGGTTCTTGACATGCAGAGGACTATGTAAATATCCAAGTCGCCGTCCTGAGATAATATCATCACTGAGGGATCAGTGATTGGTTAATTCTTCCTTTCGTTTTTTAGCATTTTGTTATTGTTTCCCCATTGAATCTTATAAAAACATGACAAGACAGAAATATGCTTTCTTCATCGCTTGTCAAATATTCTTAATTGTCAAATCTAGTAGAATTGTGCTCAAATAATAAGTTTTTATACTTGGGAAAACAATGTACCAGCTTTTACCTCTTTCATGATGAAATATGATTTGGACTATTCTTGTGAAGGACACTGATTCTGAGGAGGAACTCAAAGAAGCTTTCAAGGTTTTCGATAAAGATCAGAATGGCTTTATTTCTGCAGCTGAGGTACCTTTCTGTAGAAAAGTTATTTTCTGCAAGTAATTATGAGTAAAGTGCAGTTTAACATGCTAGTTGTATTTTCCTTAGCCAGTATTGTGTGCATCCGATATATCTCCAATTTACATTTCAGCTTCGTCATGTAATGACAAACCTTGGAGAGAAGCTGACTGATGAAGAGGTGGATGAGATGATCCGAGAAGCAGATATTGATGGTGATGGGCAAGTTAATTACGAGGAGTTTGTCCGCATGATGCTTGCCAAGTGATGACTTTAGATTCTCGTGTATTTTGTGACTGGCCACTTAGTTACTATAACTTCTAGCTGGCAGTTTATATTCTGTGTTGTTGTTAAGACAAACAAATGTACCGTATGCTTTTACTAGCATCTAGACTCCTTTCAGTTTATATGTTTTAACTTCTGGGCTACTGGTGTATACAGCTATAGTCCCTTGCCCATCCAAAGGGTAAAAGAAAAGAAGAATTTAGATAGTTCATTGGTAATATCTTGTTTGTTGCTTTGGTTTCTTTCCAGGCTACACAGTGTGTGTGTGTGCGTCTAACTGTTTTAGTTTCCCTTTGTTTCTGTACTTTGCTTCTATCAATCAGGTCAAATGAAAGGTGATATATCCTAAAGCTAGGGGTGCCAAAGTTAGGCTCAAAAATATGTAACCAGTCTAGCCCTCCCAATATTTCACAGCTTGGGCATGCAATATTTTCCTGATGGGCTGATTGAGCATAACTCAATCGGAATCTGACTCGTGAAAAAAGGTTTCAACGCGTTAGGTTGCCGAAACTTCAACCTGTAAGAAACCGTTAGGCTTCGCGTTTCTTACCGTTTCATCCCGATTAATTCTTCTTTGGTTGCTGGGTTTTTTATGTTTATTCTTGTAATGTGTTTTAATACTCATTGAAGTCAGCTTTAATATATTAACCTTGCTGCCAACTTGATGAAATTTTAATCTCATATTCAAGTGATTTGATACCTATGAATAATCTGGGTATGAGGTCATGATTTAGAATTCAGGATGAAGAATTATCTTAATAACCTAATCAGAGAATTTATTTAAACAAACTATGCCCATAATGATTTGAATATATACCTTATTTATCATAATCGAAAAAGAAACAGTGTTTTAAAAGGCGCGGGTGTAAGGTGAGGCGTTTTACATATGCCTCAGCGAGGCGTAAATTCCGACGCAGGGGCGTAAGCCCCTTGAGTATATAATTTTTAATATTTTATAAAATAATATAATTATAGTAAATATTTATAAATAAGTAAAATTGCATAAAAATTGAAGAAAACTATAAATATGTGAAATATATATATCTATATTAAAAGCATGAATACAATATCGGTTTACAAAATAACCTTATAATATTATGCATATTAACTCATAATAAAAACACATAACCGAAATACTAGATATGAGCCTTATAATCCTATTAGTTTTAGGACATAATAGTACACGTTAGGAATCCTACATGATTACCCTTAGGAATCCTATTAATATAATTACTTTCGGGCTATCTAATTCATATAAAATTGAACAAGTAAATATCTTTAGTCATGTAATCCTATTACTTTTATGATATACTTCTTAAAAATNTTCTTCTATCATCCAGTAGACCTTCCTCATCGCTTCCAGGTCGCGTAGATACATCTCGCAGTACTAACATACTCATCATATAGCTATCCAGCCGTCGTTCCCGCTAATAGGGACAATACCGAACGTATAAGTTCAAAACACAGCTCACGTAATCAGCATCTTGGTGCTCAAGCCATAGGCAAAAATCCGGCCTCAAGTCCACCAGACTGGCCCAACATCAACTCACAGAGATCACATCTCGCCCCTTGATCGGGGAATCACAAGCTATTAAGGCACGTCTGATACTGAGCGCTCCCGCGCGCGTACGAACACGTGGAAGGAATTTCAAGAGTTTCTTTTCAAGCTGAATCAAGGACGCACGATAAGAATTCAAGAATGTGAAGTTTTCCTAAAGGTTCTGCAGCCTCTCGAGGATAAGTACAGACGTCTCTGTACTGATCCACGAGACTCTACTAAACCGGCTCATGACTCGCGAGAAAAAGTAACCTAGGCTCTGATACCACCTTGTCACGATCCAAACCCCGGTCATGATGGCGCCCAACACACTGTTAGGCAAGCCCGACCATTTACACAACCTTAACCAAATAACCTAGATGGATAAATAAATATTCACAAAAAAAAAATAACAATTTAAGTGCGGAATATCTGAAATAATTTCTAACATCCGAAAAACCCCAAAATAAAATACTAAATAGCCCACAGGTCTGGTGTCACAAGTCTGAGCCTCTAATGCATGAGTATTAACCTACTACATAATGTTTCTCTAGAAATATGGAAAACAGATAAATAAAATAGAAGGAAGATCAGGACTGCGAACGCCAATTTGCAGCTACCTTGAATCTCCCGAATGTGATGCTAGGTAGAGATAGATCTCACTCAGCCTCAGTGGGTACACCTGAATCTGCACACAAGGTGCAGGGAGTATTGTGAGTACTTCCAACTCAGAAAGTAATAAATATAAATAAAGTCTGAGGATAAGAAATCCTAAATAAACACAAAGCAAAGCTATAAATACAACAACGTGAACCAATAGCATAATACTGTAAACATTAAAAACAATTATAATAAAGTCACACCAGAATAAGAATAAATGACAATTAAATATGCAATGCAACACATAAACCGGTACCTCCAGTACCCCGCTGCGGCCGTGCAGCCCGCTCCATTTATTTAACGTCGACGGCGCTCACTGGGGGTGTGCAGACTCCGGGAGGGGCCCCTTACGGCCCAAGCGCAATAATAAGCCATATCGTGGCATCAAACAGGCCCTCGGCCTGATATCAATATCAATATCATACCACTGCGGCGTGCAGTCCGATCCCATACTCAGTCCAATATCACATAAGCCTTTCGGCACAATAATATGAAAATATTCAGCCCAAACTTCATTTAAAAATATTACTTTAGTTTCTACATTTAGAAAAATGGCTGAGTTTACAAAACAGTATTAAATTCTAGGACTGAGTTCAATGATATGTAAAAATGGTAAGAAACCAGTAAAAATAATCCCTGAAGGATTCAAGTAGTTGGCACGAAGCCCAATTATGATAATTATTCCATTTTCTATAAGGATCACAAAACTACAATCAATTAGGTAGTAATTTTATTAAGCGGGACGGACCAAGTCACAATCCCCGACGGTGCTCTACCCCACGCACGTTATCCGGCGTGCAAGTCACCTCACATAGCACTACATTGTGCAAATTCGGGGTTTCAAACCCTCAACACAGCATTTACATTTATTACTAACCTCAAGCCGGCCAAAATCCTAGCTCGCTATGCCTTTGCTTCTCAAATCGACCTCCCGTGCGTCGAATCTGACCAAAACCACAACGAATACGTCACATTATGCTATAGGAACAATACCCAGGAGAAAACAATCGAAAAATAACTAAAATCTCGAAATTAGCAAAACTCGAGCCCCGGACCCACTTCTCGAAACTCAGAAATTTATATATCAATACGTTCCTTATCTCCTCACGAGTTCATACATACCAAGAACTCTCAAATCCGAGCTCAAATGGCCCATCAAATCCCCAAATCAAATTTTAAAATCCCAAGCCCTAGTTCTTCAATTTTAGGCTTAATTTCCATGAATTTCTAGACCAATTTCACAATATAATCGTGTTTTAAATTCAAAAATCTTACCTCCAATCGATTCTTCTTGAATCCCTCTTCAATTTCCTTTAAAAAGCTCTCAAAAATATCAACAATGGAGTAAATGAGCACCAAAATCGCGACTGGCGTGTTTTAAAACATTCTGCCCAGGTATTTACTCTTCGTGATCGCGGAGAACAATTTTTCCAGCCCAAAATTTACTCTTCGCGATCGCGGTCAATGCTTCGCGATCGCGATGAACAGTTCCCAGTTCTTCCTAACAGCCTCCAGTATAACGGTCACAACTTTTTGCACACAACTCCAAATTACAAATGGTTTGATGTTCTGAAAACTAGAACATAGGGCTATAATTTCATATGTTGCTCATTTCCTGGATCCTTATACATTGCGAGATATAAGCTTTCAAAGTCATCCCTGTGTATTAGAGACCTTCCCGGGCAGCCTATAGTGTAACCACCATAACTTTTTGTACACAACTTCAAATTCCAATTAATTTACCTTTCTGAAAACTAGACACAAAGGAATACAATTTTCGTTTTTGAATCATCTTCAAATTCCTTATAGATTTTGAGATATAAGCTTCCGAATTGGGATCAACGCAACAGAATATTTCTTCTCCACGATCGCGAAAGGCTTTCCGCGATCGCGATTCATTGGCACGTTTCTCACATTTTACTCACCGCGATCGCGACCTATTCCCCGCGATCGCATAGAACATTGCTGTAGCCAAAAACCAGCAGTTAAAAATGGCCTAAAAATGGTCCGAAACCACCCCGAAACTCACCCGAGGCCCCCCGGGACCTCAACCAAACATGCCAACCAATCCTAAAACATCATTCAAACTTGTTCCAATCTTCGGAACGCTCAAAACAACATCAAAACAGAAATTTTTCGTCGTATTCAACCTTAAAATTTTCAAAAACTCTAAAAACACATTTTCGATCAAAAAGTCTACCAAACCTCGTCCAAATGATCTGAAACTTTGCACGCACATCCCAAATGACATAACGGAGCTACTGCAACTCTCAGAATTCCATTCCGACCCCTATATCAAAATCTCGCATATCAACCGGAATTCGCCAAAATACTAACTTCGCCAATTCAAGCCTAATTCTACACCGGACCTCCCAAAACCACTTCCGATCACACTCCTAAGTCACAAATCATCTCCCGGAGCTGACCGAACCATCGAAATTCACATCCGAGCCCTCTAACTCATAAGTCAACGTCCGGTTGACTTTTCCAACTTAAGGCTTCTTAAAAGAGACTAAGTGTCTCATTTCTTATTAAAAACACTTCAAATCGACTCTATTACACAAGATATGGATAATGAAGCATAAGGAAGCTGAAAATGGGGAAATCGGAGCGGTAACTCATGAGACGACGGGTCGGGTCGTCACATGCAATAACCTATTTTTGGACTACAATACCTTCTATGCTAATTTTTAATATTTAAGATTTTAAAATTTATAAATTTGTCTATTAAATTCTTACTAAAAATATGTAGGAAGGTTTAATAAAATTAATTTCATAAGAATCATCCGTATTGGCAATACATTACCACTCCATAATGTCCAATACCAAAATAAAAAGTAATATTAAATGGACTGCATAAAGAGTTGAAATTGAGAAAAAATACCCCCATGATAATATATTTTTATATTATATTTGAACTATTTTCCTACTCAAATAATATTTCTTAATCAATTTTTCGTGTAATATTAAAATAAATACCCAATTATTAAATAACACCTAAGAAAATATTTAAGAATATAAATGTATGAGAAAGAGAAAACAAAATGGTTGGTAAGAGTCAATACTACTAATGATTCTACAAGCATAAAGATCTAAAAGTGAAATGTCATATCAATCTTTTACTCTTTGAAAATAAGATTTATGGTGGATAAAACTATAATTAAGATTAAATATTAAAAACAAGAGATGAACTAATATTAAGATCTGAATCAACATAGAATAAATTATTTTTTATGTCAAAATCAAATAATTAAATTTTTTTATTAATTATGTAACAAGAGAATCCAATTCAATAATTTTTTAAATTCATCATATGAGTAAAATTATTATTCAAACTAAAAAAAACTTAAAGTACATAAATTTATTCCATAAAAAGAGCGTTCGAACACAAAGTAAAAATGTTAGTATATTATTCAAGACTAATATTATAAAGAATCGATTCTGCTATAACAAGATTATTCTTTGTAGATGCCTCCGGCGAAATCGAAATAATATTTTATCTCATGCATTACTTGCAAAGATCATATCAAGAGGCACGACACTGTTAGCAATAATAGCAAGTGGTGTACCAACAATGATTTTATTGTGAGGCCACCCACTTTAGATTTGATATTTTTTTTCAAACAACCTAAATAACCATCTCAAATATATCAAGGTAGAGCGATGATACTAAATTTATAAGGAAAGCAAAATTGATAGTATGGGATAAAACATTGATGGTTAAGTATCAAACGATCGAAATAATTGCCCGGCGTTCTAGAGATATATTGGATATTAATGAACCGTTTGGTGAAAAATTAATGGTTTGGGAGGTGATTTATGTCAAGTACTACCAGTAGTTCCAAAATCGACAAAAACAGAGATTGTAAAAGCTAGCTTGCCAAAGTTATACTTCTGGCCTCAAATGAAAAAGATTCAACTGACAAGAAATATAATGTTGGAACATATTCCAATATTCAGTGTCTTCTTGCTTCGTGTCGAAAACAAAGAAGAGCATCCAATAAAAGATGATTTGGTTCTTCCTGAACACTTGGTTATCAATCCCAATAGTAATAATAATGCATTTAATAAGAGAAATATTTTTATCATTAGATTAAAACGTAATTTGTACAAATCACATGATAGAATTAAAAGATATCTTAACTAGCAAAAATGAATATGTTGATCAACTAAATAAAAGGTTGATTGCAAAATTTTATAGTAAAAACAAAATGTTTTTCTATTTTCGACTCAGAAGAAAATGATACCAATGATTACTACAAAAAATAATACTTAAATACTTTAATACCAAATGGCCTTCTACCATACATGTTTGTTGTCAAGTTTATTATTTCTTACGTATATTAGTGTTACTGTATATATAATAGACTAAGTTAAAATTGATCTTTCATTGTATATAGGTTGATTTTGAAGAAAAATATGTCTGTCATGCTACTGAAAAAACTTAGATATGCCGAATAACTTATATAATAGACCACAGATGGTATATAGAAGTTTTGACAATAACGTCATACATGCAAAAATTATGATACTGGTTAATGTGCTTCTAAGTATATTCATATCCCTGAATTCAACTTTCGTTTTCCAAAACTAAGAAATATCCTTTTAAATTTGTGTGAAAATAATTTTTAGTATGTTTATGTTTTGTAATAATAAATAAAGCACAAGGACAAACATCCTAAATATTGGACTATATTTACCACAATATGTTTCCTTGCATGAACAACTGTATGTTGCACTTTCAAGAGGGATATCAAGATCGACAACAAAAGTTCTGGTTAAGGTAGAGCAACCAAAGCATTAGGAGAAAACATACAAAAAAAAATATTGTCCACAAAGAAGTTTTCGTTAAAATACCATCACTTAATACTTTTAAACTATAACATACACAAAACTATAATTATCTAACTAACATGAAAAAATTGATCATTTGTGTAAGTTTTGATGATGTTCTTTTATTTTAAATTCATGTATTATGCTAATGTAATAATATTTATCGGTATTTAGATGATTGTTGTATAATTTCTC